TCCGAGAAGACTAGAATATCTATCCATTTCATTGATGTTATAGAAAGGTAGCAAATTCTCCTCAGTTATTTTAAGACCCTGAGTATTGGTCCGGCCGGGGCTCGAACCCTCGACCTCCCGCACAACACAATCCGGCGCTCTAACCAAGGTCCAGCTATCAGACCTAGCAGAGGGTGTTGCTTTCAGGGCTGACCACAGACTAGGGTACAGCAATCAGACCTAACAGAGGGTGTTGCCAACACCAATGATGTCCAGATAAAAAAAGCAACTACGACTTCGTCTCATAAGATTTTACAGACATCTAAACAACACAATTTATCTGCCTAACGTCACATTTATTACCTTTCTGATGACAAACTCTGCAGCTTCAGAGCCGTTATCCCTAATCCCATTAATCATTGCTTGCTTCTCCGCCTCTTTTACCTGACAGTGCAAAAAAATGCATTCATTTAATACAAATTGGCACGATCTGTGAGGGATCAAAGTCGCATATGAAATGTTACTCAAACAGTCATTTCCTTTGATACCGTTGAACGCAGAAGCTTAAACATCTGAACCAATACCTACCAATATAACACAGCACAAAAGGAAAACTTCAAGTTTGCTTAAACTGAGAACGTCTCACTTACGTGTTGTGTGCGCACTTCTTGCAGTTCTTTCTTCTGCTCCAACAATTCCTTCGCCATCTCTCTTTCTTGTTTTCGCTGCTGCGCTTCTTGTTTTCGTTTTTTTCTTTCAAGCAGCTTCTGATGTAAGTTCGCCTGCTGTCTTTGTCTCTCTAAGTCCATCTTTTCCATGATTTCTTCCAGTTCTTGTTGATGTGCCGTCAACAGCTGGCAGGCAAAGGAAACAAAGAGATAATAGTGAGTGACGTTGGAGGGTGAATGACTCTGGTTGCACGGTGTTATAATCTTCAACTTACGCATTATAGTTTTTATTAATTTATTTATTTATTTATTTTATTTATTCATTTGAGGATTTGTACCAAGGACTGGAGCAGAAACAATAGGACATAGGTCCCCTGCGAGGTTTAAGCTCCAACAAATCCACCCATCCCACCCTAGGGGAGGACATCCATCACACAGCAATCTCGTGCGTGGGAAATTAAC